AATGTGAGGATTTGCAAAAGGCTGTTTGTTTCCTATGCATTTGCTCCCCTCTCCAGATGTTTTCACTCAACCAGCCCTCTGGCAGCACTGGAAATGTGGTCTGGTCACACAGAGCTGTGGAGAAGACAGTGGGTCTGCCCTAGACAAACTATTCTTGAAAATGCTATTTTTGCTGGAAGTTGACACAAAGGCTCACTAGTGAAAGGTCCTGAGAACTGAAACCCAGCCCATAGTCGTAGTGAAGAGATTCCTTTTTACGCTACACTTACCTTGATTATGGCTATTCTTTTTTTATTATTATTACAGAAAGAATACTTTACTGCAGTAGAATTAGGAGTCTTTGCTTAATACCTATAGAAAAGGACAAGATAATGCAATGGCGTTACTCAAAAACTTGGGAGCTTCATAGCTGACCCCCTCTGGGATGGTAGAAGTCCTTCTTCCCTGGCCTCTTGTCCCCCTCCCCTGAAAGTTAATTCATTCATCCATCCATCCATCCAAGTTCCTAGGAACTTCTGTTTCATAAGCAAAACTCTGAAAGCAAGTAGATAATAATGATGCTTTTCACAATAATACTTACCCAAATGTAGTGAATTGTTCTGGTAAGTTGTTAAAAAAAATCTGGAATGACCCTTGTGGTGCAACACTCCTCCCAAGCCTGCTGAGAAGTCTCTAGGCATTCCCTGGGGCTCCTGGGCTCTGTTTCAGCCTTGCAAAGACGTCCTCTTGCCTGCAGGAGCGGGAGACACGGTGGTGGCAGTGGCGGCCACGTTATTGAAGGATTCAGGACCTCATCAGAGCTGCTCCTCTGACTGGAGGAGAGCCTTTAGTGCCAAAGAGGGTCTGTTTCTGCTTGCATCTTCTCTCCCTGAGTGTAAAAAAAGGTGTGGGAGCTGAAAGGTTTGCAAGCATTGGCCCATCCTGATGCATTTCACTTCCTTCCTTGTCCATGGAGGAAATCATGAATGGTTTCATCACACGATTTTCTGTCTCTCATGCGTCACATGAATGCAAGAGGGCCCTCCCTGTTTAAGAACCACATTAATGAGAGCTGAGATCTGGCATTTCTGCTTCAATCCCCAAGGTGGACAGAGGGAGGGTGGGTGGTGCCAAGAAGACCAAGTTGGAGAAAGAGGGAGCTTCTCCAGTCTTCTCAATGTTGAGATACATGCCTGCACACACAGATGGCCCTGGCCTCCAGAAGTTTGTCCCTGACCCAGGTTTCTTAGGGACCTCTAAATGTGTGAGATAAGCTGGTGGTCCTATTGGTTTCAGTCTGCACACGTTCGGACACGTCTGTGTTGAAGCCTTCTGTTATTCCTGCAAGCCAGAGAGCCGGGGTTTCATTTTTCTCTTCCTGATGCCAGCTGAATGAAACCACCCTGAGCTGTCTTGCGCCGTCAGGATAATGCTAGGAGAGAAAACTACTTTTGCATTTAAGCGAGCCCCTGGGTAATTCTAAATTATCCAAATACTGTAATGTATGCCACATTCACCCATTGAACGCTCCCCTGGAATGTGTACACCACTTGGAACAATGTTTTTCCAAGCTGGCAAAAGCTTTCAAGAGACATTAATGTTAAAGCCTTTATAATCTCCGCTAATTATTAACATTACCATCCTATTCCCTGCTCTTGATTGTGCCTGTGTGGGGAATATCAAGATAATGATGATAGACCGGTGGTGCAGTTTTATATGCGCGTGCCTCCGTGTTAACTTTCCTAATTAAGCCCACTTTTCTCTAATAATTGGGTTGGGTGCACCGCAGAAGCATTGGAGATCAGCGCCTGTCACTCCCAGCCAGAGTGTGGCCCCTGCAACCCATCGGTCATGTACTTCGTAGAGGTCTTTTTCAAAATGCATTGTGCTCCGCCACCGGCCAGGATTACAAGCTGGAACGGTGAGGTTCTTGTAACAGGCTGCGCCAAAATTAAAGGTCCACGTTTGGAGTCATGGGGTGCGTGTGCCAGACTCGTGGCATTTTGTAGCTCCATCCTGCTTTGACATGTGGCTCTGTTCGGGATTGTGGGGGCAACCTCTGGGTTTCAGCGTGTGGTTCGTTTGGTTTTGGCTTAGCAAGATGCATGAATCCCACCACTGCAGTTTGTAGATCCAGTAAGGTGGCTTGGTGCATATCTGAACTCAGCCAGTTGTGGCTTATTGAGCAGCCATGGTTTAGCAAGCACGAAATGTGAGTCCAATCAGTGTGTAGCACTGTAGGGATCTCTTGTTCACACCTTTGTACACAATCCCAGATGGTGGTGCATCCTGGCAAGCACTCTCCAGGATTCAGGAGATACTGCTGGAATTTGGAACTGGAAACCTGCCCACGAAGGCCTCTACCCTGGCGTTGGGCCCTTCCTTAAGTGCGCCGCGGGTTGGGGGCAAGTGGTGGTAGGGCTGGTAGAGGGGAGATGCAAGGGGGTGAAAACCGCATCTCTGCAAAGTCAGGCTCTGCCCTTGAAATTCAGGCCTTGCAAGAGCTGGGATTAAGTCGTCAAGTTTGCATTCAGATGCTCGCTTGAAACGGTGGGGTGGTAGAAGATGGTCGCCTCTGTCCTCGTTGCTTACATGAAACAGCTGAGGACAGAAAGCAGAGTTTTGTTTCGGTTTTTTATTGATTCTCCTGAATAGGGGCATCAACAAACAGAAGCTGAATAGCTTTTTCAAAGAAAGGCCTGGAATACATTTTTCACAGCATAGACAAAAGATTTCTCCTTGTTTTTCTTTTTATTTTTGGGGAGGGGGGAGAGGCAGAGTGGACAGAGAGGGCCAGCTTTGCTGTTATTGCTGCAATTTGACATCAATTGCTGCAATTTAAGGGTGGATGGAAAGTGCCAATAGGCCTGGTACTGAATCATCTTTTTTTCTTTCTTCTTTTAAAAAAGTCTGTTTTGTGTTTTGCTGTGCTCCTTTCTACTGATCAATTTTCCAAAAGGAAATCACCTGTTTTCTCTATATTACATGTTTTAGTCCAGTCCAAATCTCCGAACGCTTTTTGCTGGAAATCTCCGGGGAGCATTGAGACTCGATCTTGGAGTGGTGGGCTAGCTTGGCGTGCTGCACCCCGCCGTTTCCAGAGGGCAACAAAAGTTTACGTCGTTTGTTTTCTGATCCCGGTAAATGTGCCAGCTCTAAACATTGCACCTTGTAAGAGTGGCATTCGGGGCCCCGTCGGAGCTGAAAATGCCTCCCTGTTGGGAGGTGCAGTGCCAAAGGATGGGCCCAGGAGGAGCCACCGTGAATCCCACCCGGAGGGGTCTGTCTAGCAGGCCCTCTCCAAGCTGGCGCCGAGTGGCTTGATTGCTGACCGCCTTGGTGGAGGCCGTGTCTCCCCTCGTCAGCTTCCTTGAGCCCAGATGCCCGTATCCTGCTCCCTTCTGGCGACCTTGGGTTCCCCAGGCCCTCAGCTGACTCCCATTGCCTCTGGCTCTCCCTCTTCCTCCCGCGGGGAGGTTCTTGATCGGCTGCCCAAACCCATCGAGCAACCTGCAGGTTTGTCCCCTTGTTTCAATAAACATGCCACAGCAGCAGGTGGCGGGGCACTTCCAGAGCCCGCGCGATGCGCCCTGAATGGCAGCGTCTTTGGGTGCGTGTCTTGATTGTCACGATTAGAACTCATTTCGGTTCTGGCCGCCATCACCTTCCTCTGGCAGACCCCGGAAGGCAGTCTTTGGCGCCACTGTCTGAAATCATTCACATGTTTGTTAAATAAGGACGTGGAGTCCATTATCCTGTGAATAAATTATGCAGATGTGCCGGAAAGCAAAAGAAGTTTAGCATTTTTTTCTCTCGCCAAAATGAAGGCATTTTTGTGAATTGTAGATGGAGATGGCAATGTGGCGTTTCTTTGGTTCCCTTCATGCAAACACCCATCTCCAGAGAACTTAAACGGAGCTGGTGTGTGTGTGTGTGTGTGTGTGTGTGTGTGTGTATGTGTTTGTGTGTACGTGTACACGCAGAAGGACGTGCTTTCCCTAAATGAGCCCCCTTATCTTAATAGGAAAGGCTTCTAGAATAGAAAGAGAGAAGCATAGATCGGGACCTTTGGAGATCTGGTGAAATAATGTCAGAGCTGTGCTTGGTCCAGGGTCTCTGTTGATCAGATGGGCAACATGTATTGGAAATAAACCCATAATAAGCTCTTACTGTTGGTGGGTTTGCCCTCAGAACTCCTCTTTGAATGTTCTTCCTTCCCACTCAGCCCAAATTCTCTTGTCCTCCACAAAATAAATTCATTTTTCTCTTTGTTTATTTTCAAGATTTATAAGGCCATCCAACTCCAAAAATGTGACTTTGGGTGGTGTACAGCATAAAGAACAAACAGTAAATCAGAAAAGAAAAAAAAAGCCGTTGTGTTGAGTGGACAAATGGTCTGGGCTCAGCTTGGAACCACCAGGGAGAATCATGATGCTACTTCTGTTCAAGAAACAGGCTCAGGCTGGGTTCGTGGACCACACTAAATCTCAACTTGGTTTCACCCAATGTATTACATGAACCAAGCCAACTGTCATTTACTTAAGGAACCATGCCTTATTGGCTTGTATGAAGGGGCTTTGTCCTTCAAGATTTTGTTCAGCTCTCTCTCAGCTTCTTCATCCGAGCCTGAGAGTTATGTCCCTTCACTTGGTGTCCTCTCCCCAGTGCCCAGGTTCCACCAAAGTAGCAACCTCATGATGCCATGACCTTGTTAGATCCAGACCTTCTCCAGGACTTCCAAGACAGCTAGTTTGCTGTTTTTTTTAGTTAGAGCCTCTCAAACTAGCATTGGATGACCTCACAGTTCTCCAAAAGTATCCCTCCCTCTGTCTGTCTCTCTCTCTCTCAGCCCTAAATGAGTTGGATGTTGTTTGAGGCTCTGAATCTTTTGGTGCTTTGTCATCTCAGAAGACTTGGCTGGTGCCTGTTGGGTTTATGGCAGAATGTTTCAGCTCCTTAAAAGCACGCAAGATCTTAATATAGTTTGCATCTTTGCTGCACGTGAAACTCTGTGGCATAATCAGAGCGGCGGATTTGTAGCAATGTCGACTCAGGAAGTTGGTAAGGTGCCCATTCTTTGCTCCCATAAATACATCTGGGTGATGAAGTTTGGGGTTTTCCTTTTTGTTTGTTTGTTTTGAAGGAGTGGTTACAATTTTCTCATGCATCTCTTGGCTTTTGAAGAGGAGAGGCCTTTGGAGAGGTTACTGATGTGATTTAAAAGAGCAACAATGTAGGAAGATGAGAAGTAGCCTTTGTGGTGTATGTTAGGAGGGGGAATAGTAGGGGAGCCAAGAGGTTTTGCTTTGCACCAGGGAGGAGCAGGTGGGGGCCGGGGGAACAGTCTTCCTCAACAAGCTGGGTGGCTCAGTTTTCAAAAGCACCATCTTTTATTCATTATTCCTGATGCAAAATCCTCCAGCTTAGATGGGTGGGAAGGCTGGCACGCTGAGAGAAAATTCTACATTAAAATAACTTGATCTCAGGAGGACCCTGGACTATTGAGGACATTCAAAGCTCCGTGCTTGAGACAAGAGGAAGAATGCCAGAAAAGCCAGCCTCCACAACCAGTTGACCAGCTTCTGATTTTGAACAAAGATAGTCCAGATGCCCCACAGTTGAACTGTTCCAGTTTCTCCTCATCAGTATCGGTGCATAGAGAGAATCCAAGTAGCCGTCATGAATAGCAATCTATCAATGATTGCTTCTCCAGCCAGGCCACCTGGTGTATGTTCTAACAAATCTGAAGGACACCCATATGGGGCCACCTTCCTCTGCCTGTACCTGAGCAACAACTTGAGATGTTGTCAGGAAAAACCAGCCTTCTCAGCTCATGGGAGAGTCATCTTGATTTGTCCCAGGTCTGTTCCAGAAGTAGGTGAGAGGCTGGCATGGAGAAAGCTGGAGCCCAGTAATGTCTTGGGGACAAGGCCTCCAAAGAAGGATTTCTCTGGAATTATGGATCAGGTAGTTCTTTGAGGATCTTGCCTCCCAATCTGTAGTGTAGCAGTTGGAGCGGTGGCTCTGCAGGTGAAAAATAGGTCTTTTTCTCCCGCTGGAGGAGCCTGTAGTTCATGCTGAGCTTCTCTTAATTTGCCTGAAATATGTCCTCTTGAGCTCTGGCAATGGAAAATAGTAAGACAAAGGAAGGGAACCCACGTGCCTCGGTGTGAGATGTGAACATGTTTTGGGCTCTTCTGCTCTCTCCGTTTCTCCTTTAATTGGTCAGTGGTGTACCTTTAAAACTAGCAAGATGGAGAATTTATGGACATTTGGGGGCTGAGAAAGTCCATTCCAAAAACTTGTCCAACTTGTCCAGTTCTTAGTGGGCAGCCTGGAGATAGTGTCCAAGTCTGTTTTTTGTATGCACCTCCAATTCAGAGGAGGTTGGCTTCCAAAGGATGAGAAAGTTATCTTGGGTGAAGACCTTGGAAATGTACTGCTAGCCTGAACCATGGAGGGATAAGTTCTGATTTGGTGGGCAAAGAGGATGTATTGAAACGATGTCTTTCATGCATTGTATAACAAACCCAGTGAATACTGGAAGGTTTGAAAAGCATCTCTTTGTGGAGACAGTGGTGCTTCTTGGTGACTACCAGCAATTCTGATGAATGAAAAACCTAATTTCAGAGGTGGTGTGCTGCTAGAAGACTATTGTAAAGTTGAAAACTTGTCTTTGTTTCTACGTGTCCTGAGTGTCTGGATAAGTCACCAGTGGAGGTGCTATGAAGACTCTCTTTACAACCCTCCATGTGACCCAGCTACTCTTCTGACGTGCTTTTAGGGACATCTGTTGGCTCCTGCTGGAAGCAGAGGACAGGCTAGGTGAGTCCCTGCTTTGATCCAGGCCAGCTTTTCTTCTCAAGACAGACTCCCAGGGGCTGAGGGTGGGCACTGTTTTCTGGGCTGGAAGCCATAGTGAATGCTTTTGGGAGGGTGAAGGGCCATGGGGGTATGGCTATCATGAAGTAGGTAGGATTGTGTCAAATTCCCAGGCAGGATCAGCCTGTTTTATTCTGGGGAGGGGGGAATTGGTGCTTTCCCCCACTGTTCTCATGAACTATTAGGCCCACTTTTTGAGTGTTTCTTGCCTCAAACTGATAGAGGTCCAGTTTCCAGTTGTCAGGGATCAGGTTGAGAACCAAAAGATGAGCCTGCAGCCACAGAAACTTGTGGAGGCCTCGCACAACGGTCATCTGCCTCCTGGAAGCCAGAACTGAAATCTCAGTATCTCAGGAGAGGATTCTTAAATGGGAGAAGGCCTTTCATATGGAGGGTTTGCCACCTTTAAGGCTTTTCAGGAAGGGAAGTAACATGGATGTTAAGCATCTCATGGATGTTCCACCCAACTGAACGTGGGTCAAGTTTGATGGAACTGATCAAAACCCTTTTAGAACGAGAAGTTTCCAATTTGTTACATCCTCTTTCATATTGAAATGTATTAAAGATTCTGTTTAATTACAAGACATTAAAGCATCAAACAGATTCTTCAAAGGTATCGGCGAGTAAAATAACTACTGACTTAACTGAAATTCAACTTCATTAAGACTGTTCATACAGCAGAAGGAGACCTAAGAAAATTTTGTTCAAAGATAAAGATCTTTGGATATTCCCTTCCAGTGCTAGTGACTCAGCTTTGATACCAGCTAATTGAAGATTGCTGTCCCAATTAAGGTTCACTGACCACTGAATTGGCAGGGGCTCACTGTCCCGGCTCTAGAAGGTAACCCCTCTGGGTCTGAACTATAATGGAGGGGGGAGGTCCCCTGCCATGGTACATATTGAAACAAGGAATTTGGTTTCTGCTTCTGGTTTTCCATCCTGAGCCCCTCAAAGTGAGTGACCCTGACAAAAAGCATCGTGTGCCACACAGTTCATCCAGAGACACCGGCCACGACATCTTCAGGGTAGGGAGGGGAACCTGTGGCCCCCAGAGTTGTTGAACTACAACTCACACTTATCCTGGCCGGCATGGCCAATGGGGAGGGATGCAGGGAGAACCCTGGGTTCTCCAACTCTCCAACTCAGACTGTGGGAAGGTGGTTGTTCACCTAAAAAGAAGACACAGCTAACTTGGAAACACAACTTCCTTCTAAAATGCTGTCAGTGATGTTTGTGGGTGTGTCTGGAGGATAGAGCAATAGGGAAAATCAAATAATGCCTATAATAAGGTGTTGCAGCACAGAGTTCTCCTCCTGAGGTTGCCAGCCATGTTCTTCTTCTAGATACCTCCTTTTCTTTGTTCTTTGCCCTTTCCCTGCCCCACTGGGCCTTCCTCTGAAGGTCTTCCCCCCCAGAAATGTGTCTGTTTCTTCAAGTGAAGATGCTGCTTGTGCTGGCTGGAGGATAACTTCCTAACCAAAGCCATCTTTGCTTGGTGGATGAGATGATGGCTGAGAGGTGGACCTCTTGGGCGAGCTTTCCCATGAGGGACACCTAGCCTGAAATGTCACCTCCTTTCACAGGCCTGTTTTGGGGCTGTGGTTGTGGGATTCTGGCTTTCTTCCTTGGCAGTGGGTGCAAATCGCTACGTCTCCTTTGTGCCGGACGATCTCCAGATGATCTTTTGTTCACTCCCTTCTTTCCTCAAGAAGAAGAGTTGCTTGTCCCAAGGAAATGATGGCTGCTGTTTTTAATCTGGAAAAAACATCCTCTCTGGAGGATAGAAATGGGAAAATGACAAACAAGATTCCCATTATTATTTCCTCATTGGCTTTGGAAACACCAGATGTATGTTTTGGTTCTCAGCCCAGCTGGAAAGCTGTTCAACATTAACAAGAACTTACAATTTTTCATGTTCCTCTTTATTCTTGCATTATCTTGTTTTAATTCCCAGTGTCGGCTGATCATAGAGGAGAATCTAATCTTTGCACCAGCTTGCTTGCTTTCTCTCTCGGCGTGTGGCAGTTTGTGTAAGAGTTGCCCGGCTGGAGCAGATGGACCGAGCTGGGCATTCTGTTGCCAACCGTGGGCAGCCTCGGGGAAGTTTGCAAGAAAGGCACGTGGAAAGCGTGCCATTCCCTGACTGTCCCGAGGCTCTGTTACACACCTCAGGTCCGTAGAATGGATCAGCATTCTTAATTTTCAGTTCATGTTCTAGTTATTTTAAAGAAATTTGTTTCTTGAGAAGCCCAGCTTCTTTTAGGGAAGGCTCGTGAAAAGAGATCCAGAGTGTTGACCTTGCGCTTTGTCGTACCACTGATTTGATGACTGGGGATGATGGGATTGGTAATACCACATATTTTGGAGGGGAGCAGATTAGGACACTCTGATCTAATATAAACATGCATATCTGTGACTGCCAGACGTGGATCGTTCCAAATCACATTCCGGTTTTTTTGTGCAGAGCTTTTCCTTTTGTCTTTCCAGATAATCTTTTCTCGTTAGATTTTAAATTTTATTTTATTTTTTTAAACGAGTAAAGCCCTTAGGTATCAGATGGCCGTAAGTGCTTGCAGCTGTTTATGTTGTAAAACTCATCAACCACAATTTAGGTGCCTCTCTAAAGCTATGAACATTTGCAGAAAACAATAAGGAAATGGAGCTGCTAATTGAAAGTGGGGGCAGGAAGGGCAGCTCTAAACCAAATTTGGTGATGAAAATATATTTGCTTGCCCAACGGGTGCATCTTCCAGGTCCTGCTGGGAACAGCCTGTCCTCCTTTCCTTCACTCTTCGGCTGTGCAAAATCTTCCTCTTGCACGTCAGCCATTTCCCCGGCCGCAGCGTTCGGACGCTGCCTTGCTGACCCAGGTTCTAGTTGACCTTCAGCCATGGGAGCCCCCTGGGGATCTCTGGGCCAGTTCCTCCCTCTCAGCCCAAGAACCAGGGTGTGCAGTGGTGAAGGTGCTGGACCAGGTTTGGGGAGACCCAGGTTTGACTTCCCCCTCAGCCATGGAGACTCCCTGGAGGACTTTGGGCCGGTCCTCCTCTCTCAGAATTGGAGGGGGAAGTGCTATGGATCCTGGAGGAAAGGCAGGATATACATCTAAGTGAAAGGGGAGATTTTGACTTTACAGATTTTTGCCTTTAGAAGTGAATTTGGAGTTCTGAAGCCAGTGG